TTTCATTATTTGAAAGGTAGAGAGACATTTAGTGAGAGGAAGCCACCACCCACTGGTTCACCTCCAAATGCCTCAGTCAAGGCTGAGTCAGGCCAAAGCCAGGGACCTAAACTCAATCTTAGTCTCTTCACGTGGGTTGCAGGGCCCCAAGTATTTCAATTACCACCTGCTGCCACCCAGGGTGTGCATTAGCAGGAAGCTGGAATTGGGAACATAACAGGGTGCTTAAACCCAGGCACTCAGATATGGGATGTGGGTGTCCCAAATGGCACTTTAACTGCTGTACCAAATGCCCACTTTTCATTTTGTAGCTTTCATTACCATATGAATTGCATACATCCAATTTGAACATGAACAGGGGTTGTTGGATACAGGAATTATGAGCCATTTATGAACTGATGTGCTTTGACACGGAGATAAGATTTTTCTTTGAACAGTTTGCATTCTAAAAACCTAATTATTATGCAAAATAAATAGGAAAAAGCCAGAAGAGTCATGTGTCCCATATTGGGGATTGGTGGCTGTGATTTGTTCAATGTTCACAATATTTCAGTCTTTAATTAAGGTTCCAGGCAGAATTGTCAGTATCTCTACCTAAGTTGATCAAAACTGATTTTTCTCAGCATATTAGCAATGGCGGCAAACCCATCTTCCTCCCACTAAAAGCCACACAATAAAAGCTTAATTTTTGTTTCTCACATTTAAAATCTAAACGCTGCCAATTTCATTAGAGTTTAACACATACTGGTGCTTAGTCCCTAGTTTCTTTCTGATGTGCCAATCCCTGCAAAGCGTACTCTGCATTATGAGTGAACAGCCTTCCTGCAAGTGGGGTTTTTACTGCCAAAGCAAACTTGCCACACATAAAAATGATGGGAAGATGGAATGACAACCTGAAATATGCGTCTCTCTTATATGGCTAGGGGAGAGGCAGTTGGCTTAATGAAATGAAGAGACCTTTATAACACAAACACAGTTTCACATTTAACTCCAAAGAATTAGCCAGTGCTGTACTTCCTGCTCTTCTCACACCACTGTTCTCACCAGGAAGGCGTGCCTGCAGCTCTGCGCTGTCTCCAACCCACCCTGGCATCCAGTCCTCAAGACAAGGCCTCCTACTTCCCGTTGTTCCTTTCTGCACTTTGGCTCTGAACAGAGTCACTGAGCTAACAGAAGAGCCTTTTTCTGGGTATTAGAACTGTTAAGTAAAGATTTAGGGTCACTGTATCAAAAGGGATAAGGCTTAATAGCCTTAACAAGACAATGAGGGTGTAGGCTTGAAGAGAAAGTAAATTCACAACATCCGATTGTTATTAGCAATCTGCACATTTGCCCCAAATTCACCTTTATCTTTAAAAATGTTTACTTATCTATTTAAAAGGGGGAAGGGAAGGGGAGAGAGAGAATGAACATATATCAGGGAAAGGTTCACTCTCCAAATGTCCACAATAGCCAGGTCCCGCCAAGGCCAATGCTGGGAGCAAGAGCTCAACTCATGTCTCCCTTGTGAGTGACAGGAATCCAACCACGAGAGCCACTACCCACTGCCTCTCAGGGTTTGAAGCTGGAATCAGCAGTGGAACCAGACACTCCCAATGAGAAGTGGGATGGAGGAGGCCCCCAAATGCTTGCTCCTCACATTGACTTATAAAGGATAAAACATCCATGGGCCAGGCTGTGGTATAGTGGGTAAAGCTACCACCTGCAGTGCTGGCATCCCATATGGGTGCTTGTTTGAGTCCTGGCTGCACCACTTCTGATCCAGCTCTCTGCTATGGTCTGGGAAAGAAGAAGACGGCTCAAGTCCTTGGGCCCCTGCGCCCACGTGGGAGACCCGGAAGAAACTCCTGGCTCCTGGCTTCGGATTGGAGCAGCTCCAGCCCTTGCGGCCATTTGGGGAGTGAATGGAAGTGGATGGAAGACTTCTCTCTACTTCTCCTTCTCTCTCTCGGTGTAACTCTTTCAAATAAACAAATAAATCTTTAAAAAAATGATAAAATGTCCTGATCTCAGAACCATGGCTAATAAAATGCAGAGAATTTACTCAGAAAATTTGTAATAACAATCTCTAGCCTACAGCACACTTTTCTGCAAATCCTTAATTAGAGGTAAACCTAATGACATCAATTAATTAAGGCATGCATGGGAAGAGGCGCACAAAAACAATGTTATTAAAAATTTGCTGGGGGGGGGGGGCTGGCGCTGTAGTGCAGTGCATTAGGCCACCACCTGCAGTGCCCGCATCCCATATGGGCACCTGTTCCAATTCAGGCTGTTCCACTTCTGAACCAGCTCCCTGCTAATGCTCCTGGGAAAGCATAAAGATGGCCCAAGTGCTGGGGCCCCTGCACCCATGGGTGAGACCGGAAAGAAGCTCCTGGCTTCAGTCTGGTCCAGCCCTGGCCGTTGCAGCCGTGTTGGCAGTGAATCAGCAGGTGGAAGATCCATCTCTCTCTTTCTAACTCTGCCTTTCAAATAAATAAATAAATATTTAAAAAGCCACCTTTTTTCCCCTTACAAAGATAACCGGATCGTGGCTTTGCTTCAATATAGAGAATTTTATTTTAGGAAACTCAGGTCATTCTAGAGGAAAGATTAGACAGAGAGCTGAGGGTTTGAGAAAGGACAAAAGGAGCAGAGGAGGTGCTGTGCTCTGTTTGGCAAAGAACACTGGGAAGAGGGCAGTTCAGAGGGAGGGGAAGAAGGTGCTAAACTATGCCTCAGATTTAAAGATTTCAGTGCCCAGGGATCAATCATCTAAATCATCTTTTACCTCAATCACCAAAGATACTCTAAGACCAGAGTGGAGGGGCTCGCATTGGGGTGCAGAGGGCTGAGAGAGCTAGGCCCCTGGCTTCGGCCTGGGCCAGCCCTGGTTACTGCGGCCACTTTGGGGAGTGAACCAGCAGATGGAAGTGCTCTCTCCTCTCTGTAACTCTGCCTTTCAAATCAATCAATCTTAAAAAAAGACAGGGGGGAATGAAGAAGTTTCCTGTAAGTCAAAAAAGCTTTAAATGTTTAAAAGTGAGGAAAACCCACTGAAAGCAAGTCTCTCTTGGGATGCATTCTCTGCCATCAGACAAGGGGGATAAATGGGTGTGAAGACCCCAGGGGATCCTGGAAGCAAAGCCTGGTGGTCTGCAGCACCCACCTTTGCTGAGTATGGATTTAGGACACTGTTTATCTTCCACACACTGCACATTTAGGGCTTTTCACAGCTGTATACTCCTCTGCAAACTCTTTCAAACTCTGTTTATCACTTTATAAAGGCCTGTTTCTTTCATGCTCCACCATCTTGCGATGCTTGCTGTTTACGTCTCTGTGTTTACATGCGGGGTTAACAGCTCTTTCAGCTCTGGCTTGCCTTTTCCCAAGTGGGTTAATGCAACAGAACTGTATCACCCTGCAGGACAAAAAAGGGCTACAATAACGGTGCTGGTGCTCTGGGGTCCCGGCTGCAATCTGTTGCCAGGTTCAACATTTTGGCATTAAAACTGCTGATGCAGCAAGAGGAATAAGGCTGACAAACTGGTAAACTGAGCAAGGCTGGGCCTTTTAAAGCACTTCAGAGACCAGACCGAAAACCAAACAGACTGGGCTATTTGTGTATCTTTTAAGGGACTGAAAAAAGCACTGTCAACAACAGTAAAATAATTTAATGTTCATTTTAAAGAAGCAATGTAATTCACTATTTGCTACCCATTGCCTCTTCCAACCTCCTCGTCTGCTCTTCAGGGCAGTCTGGTTTGGACAATAAGGGAGTGGTAGGAAGGAAAAAGGCCAGCGCAGGAGAGTGACAAGTGTATGCGGTTTTATATCCTTTTGGACCGGAGAGGGAAATCAGAGGTGAAAGTGGTTCAGACCCCACTCTTCCCAAAGGAGACTATCTAGGCTTGAGGATAATTCTAGGGCTTACTCCAAAGGCAAGCCATAGAAGTGGGTGGGGTCAATGCAAATTTAGTAAATCATTAAGCCCTCTGCAGCCACCTTTGCTCCCCAGCACAGCGCTGGTTTTTCTGGTCAGAGAGGACCTCCAAAAAATCGTTAAGTCCTTGGGCCTAACAGAAAGAGCAGGAGACCAGGCTGAGGGAGACAAAGGATGCAGTCCAACACCCTCCATGCTTAAAGGCAATCCACCCCAGCAGGACGCTGTAGCCCCTCCCACACTTTTTTCCTCCCATGCAACAGGAAAAAAAAAAAAATCTAGATTTTGCCCTTTCTATTTTGGCTACTTTCAAAGACATTGTGCAATATATTGAGGGGGAGGGGGGATGAAAACCTTTATTTGCTCAAACAAAGCATCTGACTGCAGCAGCCAAATCTAGAGACATTCCAACATTTTCACCACAGGCTAACTCGGGGACTACCAATTTGTAACCGCCTCAATCCCTTTTCCTCATCTACTTTTATCTCTTCCCGAAGCACCAATCTGGTGCTGGCCAGGGCCGGTACACACCCCCAGGGCTATTTCATTCCATTGGCTGGCAGGCAGCTCACAGCCTACAGCCTTTAGATTTACTGTCAGAACGCCCAGTGTTTGTCGGCGACGTTACGCTCACCGCTCGTTTCGTTTTTCCTTCTTTATTTCGCCCTCCCCCTTGTTTCTGCTACAAAATAGAAAGCTGTCAGAGTGGGAAAGTCATTGAAAAGGCTGGTGTGTGGCTAACAAACTCCTTTGGTGAATGAAACTGTCAACCCGTGTCTCCGTGTCACCTGTCACTGTTCTAAGAAGGGGTGGAAAAAAGAAAGCAAACTGTATTTTTGAACTCAGGGAAACTCGCCCTGCACACTCTGCAGGAACGAGCCCCGGCGACACGCGGGGCACCGGCGCAGTGCGCGCTCCGCATGCAGCATCCACGCACGCAGAGGCCCGCGGGGGAGAAGGCGGGCCCAAAGACCGGATGGTTTCAGGCGGAAAAAAAAAAACAAAAAAAAACAAAAAAAACCCCACAATGCCCCGAGTCCGCCACACCCGGGGCGCGCGGGCCGCGGGCGCTCACCTCCCTTGCAGGGCGTGCGGTGCTGGCTGTGCTGGGCCCGGTAGCCCTCGATGACCTCCCAGGAGCCGTCGTCGCGCCGGATGGGAAACGAGAGGCTCAGCACATGGTTGCAGGGCTTGATGATCCGCAGGATGCCCCGCACCCGGTTCCGCTTCTGCTCCTCGCTCTCGCGGGTGCGCAGGTCCTCCACCAGCTTGTCCTCCACGATGCTGGCGCCGCGGTCGAAGAAGCCCTCCACCATCTTGAAGAAGTTGGGGTCGTCCTCGCGGTCGGCCGCCGCCTCGCTGTAGTGGCGCCGGGCCGCCGGCGCGAGCCCCGGCTGCGGGGCGCACGGCTGCCCGCGGGCCCAGCCTAACAGCGAGGCCGAGTCGGCGGCCGCCGAGCCCAGCGCCGCCGCGGGCCCGGCCCGCGACAGCAGCAACGCTTCGCCCAGACAGCGGTACATGGCGGCGGGAGAGTCGCGCTCGAAGGCCTCCGCACCGAGGGAGGAAGGGCTTGGCGCGGGCTGGCCTTTTAAGCGGCCGCTTCCTGCCTGCCTGGCTGTCCCCTCCCCTCGGGCGCTCGCCGACTAACGGGGAGGGCGGACTTGGGGACCGCGCGCGCCGCCCAGGGAGCCGGGCCTCCGCCTCCGCCGCGGCCTCGCCCGGCCTCCCAGGCGGCGGCGGCCAGGCGGCCAGGCGGGAGGCGTCGGGGGCGCGCAGGCGGGCGCGCGCGCGGGGGGTGCCGGTGCGCATGCTCGGCGACTCCGCGCGCGCGTGGCGGGGGAGGGGCGGTCGGCTGCGGCCGGTGCTCCAGGGAGGCCTCGCCCGCCCCCCCAACACAGGCGGGGCTCTCAGGTCCGCGCGCGGCCGGGGGTGGTGCGGGGCGGCCGGGGAGGGGCCTGGGCCCTCCTCGGAGCTCTGGGAGGCCGCGGGAGCGCGGCGCTGGGGCGAGGCCGCGGCGGTTTGGCCGTGCGCCCGGGGCGAGTGAGTCACGGTGCCGCTCCTTGGCGTCCCCCGGGCTGCTGGGGCAGGGCGTGGGGGGCGCGGGGCGCGCGGGACGGGGCGATCGCGGGCAGGGCCTCCGAGCAGCCTCGCCCGAGCTGGAGTTCTGAGGCGGCGGCGGGCCGGGGAAGGGGACGGCCGGTAGGCTGAGGCAGCGTGTGCGGCTGGTTTTTCCCTCGGCCTGTGCCGCGTTCCCCTCAGCCACGGCGATCGCGTCCCGCACCCGCACCCGCACCTGCACCGCCCGGGGAGCCCCCTTTTCCGACGCGCGCTCTCGACCTGGCACGCAATGAATTAGAGCAGGGGGCTGCATCGCGTCTCCCTGGAGCTTGTTTCCGAAGGCTGCGGCATTCAAGGGGAGGTTTCCTTTGAGCCGGGTTGAAATCCGAGCCTTCGAGGGTGTTCCAGAAGTTAGATTTGGATTTGGACAGTGTTTACACCACGTTAGGCGTTCTTAGTGCCGTCCCCTCGGCGTGTTTTGGACGGTTTGAAAACTTCAAGGCACGCGAGGGTTCATCTAGGTGCTTATCAGCATACTGGATGGGAAATGCTAAGTTGATAAATTAAGGTGCGTGTAAGAATCTGATGACTCAGACACTTAAGGCAGCGGTCCGAGCCCAGGGCACCGGACTCGGCCTCCGCGCCCACACTGGCACCTCGTTGACTTGACGTTGATGTGCACTTTGTCAAATCTTAGGACATGAAAGAGAAAGTTCGCATCATTGCCTCCCAAACAGAAAATGATAACCTGGGTTAGTGCAGTGACATGTGTGCATCTCCCTGCACCCTCAAAGCAAACGTCTTTCCTTGCTGGGGAACCTTGTACTTTGCCTTATTGGCTAAATAAGTCATAGGCGTTCATTGTATTTATCTGGTATTTTTCAGCCGAAAATATTCTCTGACTTGGAATCCTGAGTTCGCCTTCATGATTCAAGGAATAAGGTACCACATTTCTTTTTTTTTTCACTTGATAGACATATTTTACCATTTTCGTGTAGCAAAAATTAAAAAAAAATCGCTGGAAAACATGCTCCCCCCACCTGTAATTGCGGAATTATCTGATTAGCATCAGTAAACATGTGGGAAGAATTCTCAGATTAAATTCTTCAGTGTGTTTTGAGGAAAGTGGTTTTCTGGGCCTAGTTTATCTGTCTCTCGATAACCTTAACCTTTAGAAAAATAAATGTTTGACTTTGCTTCCTCTATTTCTTGTGCTCCCGAAATCACCACACTGGATGCAGTGAAAAATGCGGGTGGAGCTGTGGAAATGATTTTTTTACTGAGCGTCTAAAGTGTATAATGCCTTACAAAATGGCTCCACAAGAGCCCAAATGCATTTTTATTTGTTATTGTTTTATCTTTATTTACTTATTTTGGACACACAGGTCCTTATTTTCTTTACAACTGCTAAATTAATTGAATTTATTCAAATCTATATTTTTAAAGAAAGTACCTCTCTTTAATGAAAGTAACTTTTTGTTTCCCTTAAGATTTATTTATTTGAAAGGCAGAATTACAGAGAGGCAGAGAGAGAGAAGGGTCTTCCATCCAGTGGTTCACTCCCCAGATGGCTGCAATGGCTGGAGCTGGGCTGATCCGAAGTCAGGGGCCAGGAGCTTCTTCTGGTTTCCCATGTGGGTGTAGGGGCCCAAGGACTTGGGCCATCTTCTACTGCTTTCCCAAGGCCTTAGCAGAGAGCTGGATTGGAAGTGAAGCAGCCAGGACTAGAATAGGAGCCCATATGGGATGCCGGCAATGCAGGCTGCAGCTTTACCTGCTACCCCACAGCACCGGGGCCTCTGAAAGTAACACTTTAATTAGGGTATCAATTTCCAGGATGACAACTTTCAGAGGAGATGAAATCATTGTGGAACTTAATTCAGTGAAATCCGGAGTGCTATTCCAGCTTGTCTTCTTTTACTCATGTCCTTATTCAAGGGAGAAAACAGGAATACATTTTTTAAGATATTGTAACAGTCTTCTCATTTTTCTTAATAGTCAGGTTATGAGTTATCATTCATTTGTAATACTCACTTTCTGAGTATGGTACTTTTTTATTTATTTTTTGACAGGCAGAGTGGACAGTGAGAGAGAGAGACAGAGAAAGGTCTTCCTTTGCCGTTGGTTCACCCTCCAATGGCCGCCGCGGCCAGCACGCTGCGGCCGGCGCACCGCGCTGATCCGATGGCAGGAGCCAGGTGCTTATCCTGGTCTCCCATGGGGTGCAGGGCCCAAGTACTTGGGCCATCCTCCACTGCACTCCCGGGCCACAGCAGAGAGCTGGCCTGGAAGAGGGGCAACCGGGACAGAATCCGGCGCCCCAACCGGGACTAGAACCCGGTGTGCCGGCGCTGCTAGGTGGAGGATTAGCCTAGTGAGCCACGGCGCCGGCCCGAGTATGGTACTTTTTTAAGACTTATTTACTTGAAGGCAGAGTTAGACTGTGAGAGACAGAATTTTCTATCCGCTGTTTAACATCTCAAACGACTGCAATTGGCCAGGGCTGGGCCAGGCCAAAGCCAGGAGCTTTCTCCAGGTCTCACATGTGGGACAGGGTCCCAAGCACCTGGGCCATCTTCCACTGCCCTCCCAGGTACACCAGCAGGGAGCTGGAAGGGAAGTGGAGCAGCAGGACTCCATCCACATGGGATGGCGGCGCTGCAGGCTGGCCCCATACTCATTTTTGTCAATGTTAACTTGACTATAAAATTTAAGCTGACTCTGTTCCACACGTTATACACATTTTTATTTTTTCTAATTTTCTCTATGTTTTCAAATTCAAGTTGTAAAAAATTTAAAACCCTACAAATACATTTAAAAATTAAAAACACAAAACACACTAAAACACCGGAGTAAGGGAAAGGGTTTATTGGGATAAACCCAGCAGGCCGGAGGGGAGGGGCGAGGAAAGAAAAAGAGGGAGAAGGAAAGGGTAAGAGAGAGATCAAGAGAGAGATAGACAGAGAGATGGGGGGGAGATCATGAGAGAGGAGAGAGAAAAAGAGCCCTGTGTTCGAGAACAGGTCCTTTTAAAACTTTGCCAGGGGGCAGGCAGGGAAGGGAATTGGGAGCAGCAGTCCCATTAGGATGGGGGTGAAGTGTGACACCGAATCCCATTAGGCTGGGAGTGGAGCCTGACACCCGTGGTTGGGCCTTGTGGTCACCTGGCTTCCAGCAATGGCTGTGGGGGGCTAGAGCCTAGGATGGTGTCAGGTTGTAGATCACGCACCATTTTCCTAACAATTGTCAGCCACACCCCAAGATTTAGTGAACAATTAAGAGTATTTGTTTTCACGGTGAAGAAGGTATTGTAATTCCTGATTTAACAGAAGGGGGAACTGAGGCTGAGAGACTAAATAAATGGCTGATAATCAGTTTGCTGGATAAGACTGAGATTTCAAGTCTTATAAGGCTATTTCTATTTAGTTTAAAATTGTTTTTGTTGTGGGGCTGGCACTGTGGTATAGTGGGCTAAGCTCTAGCATCCCATGTGGGGATTATTTATTTATCTGAAAGGCAGAGTTACACAGAGGCAGAGAGACAGAGAGAGGTCTTTCATCTGCTGGTTCACTCCCCAACTGGCCACAACGGCCAGAGCTGAGCCGATCCGAAACCAGGATTTTTTCCCAGGTCTTTTTCATGGGAGCAGAGACCCAAGGATTTGAGCCATCTTCTACTGCTTTCCCAGGCCATAGCAGAGAGCTGGATCAGAAGTGGAGCAGCTGGGACTCGAACCAGCACCCATATGGGATATAAGTGCTTCAGGCAACAGCTTTACCTGCTATGCCACAGCGTCACCCCCCTCCCCTTTTTAAATTTATTTATTTTAAAAGAGTTACATAGAGAGAGGCAGAGTTAGACAGAGTTGTCCAACTACTGGTTCACTCCACAAGTGACCGCAACAGCCAGGGCCAAGCCAGGCCAATGCCAGTAGCCAGGAGCCTCCTTGAGTCTCCCAAGGGAGTGGCAGCGACCCAAGCCCAAAGGCCATCAGCAGAGAGCTGGATTGAAAGTGGAGCAGCAGGGGAACTGGCGCCTGTATGGGATGCTGGCGTCACAGGCTGTGCTGTAACCTGCTATGCCACAGCACCGGCCCCTCTACTACATTTTTTTAAATCTACTCATTGATGGACTTTTTGCTTATGAATAATGCTAATATGGACATTTTTGCACAAATTGTTGTATGGACATATTTCAGTTCTTTTGAGTAGAATTCCTGGGTCATATGGCAACGCCATGCTTAAAGTTTTCAGTAACTATCAAACTTTTTCATAGGGACTGTACCATTTTAATTTTTACCAGCAGTGAAAGGAGGGTTCCAGTTTCTCTACATCCTCACCAACATTTGTTATCTGTCTTTTAATTATAGTCATTCTAATGGTATGAAGTGTTACTCATTTGCATTTCCTTGGCAGCTAAAGAGGGTGTTAAACATCTGTTCATATGCTTATTAGCCATTTGTGTATCTTTAGAGAAATGTCAAATCAGAGCCTTTGCCCATCTTTAAGGTGGGTTATTTGTCTTTTTATTGAAGAGGTGTAAGTGAGTTAGTTAGATCAATTATTTGCAAGTATTTTCAGTCATTCTGGAGATTCTTTTCACATTTTTATGGTCTTTGAAGCACTATGAAGTGTTTATCTATTTAAAAGAGCGACAGAGCTAGAGAGAGAGGATGGGAGAGAGAGATTGAGATTGAGAGATCTTCCATCTGCTGGTTCACTCCCCAAATGACTGTAACAGCCAGGCCTAAGTCAGGATTCTGGAAATCCATCCAGGTTTCCTGAAGGGGTGGCAGAGACACAGTCTTTGAACTGTCAGCTGCTGCTTTGCAGGGCATTCATTAGCAGGAAGCTAGACTGGAAGTAGAGTAGCCAGGACTTGGAACTCAGGGATTCCAGTATGGGATGTGGGCGTTCCAAGCCATGATTTAACCTGCTGTGCCGCAACCCCCACCCCACACACAAGTTTATAATTTTGATGAAGTCCATTTTATAAATTTGTTGTTGTTGTTGCTTGTGCTTTTTCAGGGGTGGGGAACGTCAGGCCTGCCGGCCATATAAGGCCCATGAAATCATTTGGTTTGGTCCTGCCACGGCTACTGCACCTGGGACTTGACATTCAATACATGTATAGCAGGCTTATTTCTAAGTTGATAATTTTGTATGGCCTGTGAATGATGTTATAAATATCCAAATGACCTTTGACAGAAAAAAAATCTTCTTCACACCTCCAACTGGCGGTTATAGGGTTTTACACATATGTTTTAGTCTAAGGTTTTTTTTTTTTTTTTTTAAATAGTTTTAGCTTTTCCGTTTAGATCTTTGACCCATTTTTGAGTTACTGTTGTATGTGAGATGAGGATGGGAATCCAATGTCATTCTTTTGCATATGGATAACCAATTTGTTGCAGCACCATTTGTTCTAAACTGTTTTTTCCTCCATTGAACTGACTTCACACTGTATGGAAGATAAATTGACGTAAATGTGAGGGTTTTGTATCTGGACGGCCAGTTCTGTTCTGCTTATTCAGATGCTTGTCCTCATGCCACTGCTACAGCTGTCTTGATCACTGGAGCTTTGTAGTAAGTTTGAAATTAAGAAGTGAGAGTCCTTGTAAAAAATGCTTTGCACTTCTTTTAAAAAAAAACAAGATTTACTTTATTTGAAAGTGCAAAAGACTGGTGCTGGGCCAGGCTGAAGCCAGGAGCCAGGAGCTTCATCTAGGTCTCCCCTGTGGGTGCAGGGGCCTGAGCGCTTGGGCCATCTGCTTTCCCAGGCACATTAGCAGGGAGCTGGATCAGAAGTGGAGCATCCAGGAGTCAAACTGGTACCCATATAGGATGCACGCATCACAGGGGTGGCTTAATCCTCTATGCCACAGTGCTAGCTCCTTACACTCCTATTGTTAAATTATTACTAAGCATTTTCTTCTTATTTTTTTT